TAGCAGGTTGTTAATGCTAACCATCAAGTCTACGGTCTATGAACTAACCAGTGTTGGGCAAGTTACTTTGAACAAGTAATTAATTATAGTTACTAGTTACTTCTTCAAAAAATTAACTGAGTTAGTAACTGAGTTACAAGATTCTAAAAGTAATTAATTACTTGAAAAGTAACTATTGTTTTACCTCTGAGGTCCAGGGTATAATTGGCCCTTTTTGATTACTTTTTATTTCCCCTCTAAATGTCACCTTTAAAAACGATTTACTTTGCCTTGTATCATCCTTTCCAGCATGACTTTTGTTGTGATTTGGCGCTATATAAATAAAATTGAATAAAATTGAATTGAATTGAACCTCAAGTGGACTGTAACCTGAATTTACAGTCATGTTTTCATTTTGACAGACTGTATTAACACAATTTATCTAAAATCAGACAAAAAACATAAAATCTGAGTAGAAAAAGTGATATTTTTTACTGTAACATCCACAAACATGTTTAATGATCATATTTCATAACTTTAAATGCAAATATAAATGGTCAATTTTAAAATCATACGCACAAGTTTTGCAAACAAAGTTATTTGCAGCCATTTACCTTTTACCGTTTTTTAATGACCATTTCAAACTATTTACAGAACAATCAGCTGTTCTTCAATAAGATGCCACACAAATTATTTGTGCCACTCCAAAAAAATAATTTTTGTCCACTATGAAGGAGAACATCACAGCCTGATACCTGCAGGTCTGACAGCAGCAGGTGTATCAGTCCTGTTTTCATTCAGCAGTGTTAGGAAATCAGTTTCACCCCGGTTCGATTTATTCCTCGAAGCATCCAGAGACGGCACCGGACTCAGTAGTCATTTCACAAAACCTTTATTCATCTTTATTCATCTTTATTAAAGCATCTTCTAGAAGGGGAGATGTGCCAGGCCGGTGTCGCTCTGCAGATCTTCCACCTCTTTGTCAGTTACAGTCAGCTTTATAGACATGACCCCATCATAAAACCCCCACGGTGTGCTGCAAACTCTGTGTGTCTGTGTGTATGCATGAGCACGTGAGTGCCTGTGTGTGCGCGTACCCGTGTGTGTATGTGTGTGTACGTGAGTGAGTGTGCATGTAGGTCTGGGTGTGTCGTAACAGTTAAAGCACTGTGTGTGTCTGTGTATGTGACTTCCTGGGGGTCATAAAAGTAATCACTCCTCACCAAAGCTAAACCAAATTCCTCTACACAACATAGGAAACAGAGTTAACATGTTACAAACACTGAGACCCCCACTCTGCATCCACTGGGCCGTTGGCCTCTTGTTGTTTTACATTTACAGATAAGCATGTGGAGAGTCTCCTGCAAACCTACTTCTAAGTTATAACAATTAAAAACTTTTATTAAAGGTACAAGCATCAGCATCAGCAACCCTCAACTGTAGCTTCCTGTCTCCTTTTATGACACCAGACCCCCAGTGTCCATAAATTCCTTTCTCTCTAGACACTTACACACACTCTCAGGCCACAGCTAAGCCAAACTGAAACACACAGACAAATCCTTTCTTATTTATCTGATCTACTGCTGGACCCTCTCATCTAAGCAAATTTAACACATTCTAATTATTATTTTCATGTATTCACAGCAGTCGCCTCATTGTTCTGACCCACAACACAAAACTATCCACAACACTACACACTAACTACACAAGACAACACATTAA